AGGCTGTTCTAGTTTGCTTTCTATTGAGATAAAAACACTCTGGCCCCAAGCAACTTGGAAAGAAAAGGTTTGGTTTATACTTCCAGGTCACATCCATCACTGAGGGAAGTCAGGGCAGGAAATCAAGCAGGGACTAAAGCAGAAACCATGGAAGAACGCTGTACCAACCAGCTTCCTCTACAGCTCACTTTGATAGCTTTCTTATTCACTAGTCCAGTCTGGTGACGATGCAGCTGGGTCCTCCAACATCAGTCTTCAGTAGAGACAGTCTCTCAAAGGCACGACCACTGGTCAGACTGACCTGTGAATTGAGGTTCCCTCTTCTCATGTGACTCTAGGTGTAGAGGATGAAGGCCATGCTTTAACTTACATGTTTCCAGGGCCACCCTGGCTTCATGGCTGGTATTACAACAGTAATGATCAACATTGTGAGAAGTAGGAAGGATGTCCCAAGGAAGAGCCAGTAGCAGTGCAGGATGGATACAGCATGTAAATATAGTATGTTTCAGTGTGGAGGGGAGGGGGGGGTGACAGGGAGGGTCAAAGATGGTATCTAACCAGAGACAATGTAATGTTGCCATCAGTTAAGATGGGGAACACTGTGGGGAGCAAATTGTTCTATGGGGTGGTATGTGTGTGTGCACACACGTGTGTATGTGTGTGTATGTGTCATGTGTGTGCACACATATGTGTATGTGTGTCCTGTGTATATGCATGTGTGTGTACATATATGTGTATGTATATGTGTGTTGTGTGTATCTTGTGTTCATGCGTGTATGTGTGTACGTGCATGTGTATGTTGAGTGTGTTCATATGTGTGTATGTGTTTTGTATGCGTGCATTTGTGTGTGTGCATGAGGGTATGAGTATGTGTGTATATGTGTTTGTCATGTGTGTGTGCACACGTGTGTATACATATGTGTCATGTGTGAATGCATGTGTGTATCATGTGCATGTGTGTATATGTGTGTGTGTGCATGCGTATATATGTGGTGTGTGAGCCTTGTGTGTGTGCATGTGGGTATGTATGTATGTATGCATCCATATGTGTGTGTTTGTGTGCATGAATGTGTGTATGTGTGTGTATATCTTGTGTGCATGTGTGCACATGTGTGTGTGTGTGTTTGTATGCGTGTGTGCATGTGCCTGGTGTATTTTGTGTCTGTGTGTTTTGCTTTTGTAGGCATGGGTACAATTTGCTGGTTATTGGGTCAAGGGACCAGGAAAACACACTTTACCATCCCTACATCTACATGGTAGAACTCTAAGGTATTAATTAGGTTTCATGGGCTTTTAAAAGCCTCTGCCTCTGGAGCTCAGTGCATTCCCTTGGAGAACTGCTTGCTCTGCTTCTGTTGTAAAGCAGAGTCCTTGGGAAGCATCCCTGGGAGTCCTAAAGGGAACACCGGCTGGACCAGAGCTTCCAGCAGCCACAATACTCAGCCAGGGATCGCTCTTCCTAGGGCACTTCCCAGTCCTTTAAGGTGCCTTCCACCCAGGCTCTCTTTGTTTCCATTCAGTAACCACTGCCAAACCAGAATCTCAGCGTCTCTCCCTTCTCACCTTTCTCCCTCTCTTGTTCTCGGAGTGGCATAGCATGTTCCAGTAATAGTGGAAAATATGCAGTCAGTGCACTTGCTACCTTTCTGCCGTATCTGCTTTTTTTTCTACTTAATCTGATGATGAAAACTTGGTCTTTTCTGAGTTGCTCTGTTGTGTATTTGCATATGTAAAATAAGAATTTGTCCACATTTTGTAAAATTGGTTAGCCATATTAAGCAAACATTATCATTCTGGCACTTTATTAAAGAGCTGGGCAGGGTGTTAAGTTCCAAGTGGCCACAGTGGGGTGTTGAGAGCAGAGTAAGGGACCAGTGTCTCCTGCTGCTTTCCTGTTTTGTTTTGTTTTGTTTTGCTTTTCTAGTTCCCCCACTGTTTGTCTGTGATCATCAGCCCTGCTGCTCTGAGCTTCCTCAGGCTTCCTGAGATGTACAGAAATTTTTGGTGCAGGGAATTGGGAAGCCCCTTAGCAGGGAAGGAAAGTTATTTTTAAACTTAACTGCTCTCAGGAAGTAAGGCTACTCTGGGTGGCATCTAGGAATCTGGATTTTAGAAAGGAGATCTTGGTGTCTGTAGGAGATAGAACAGGACAAGAGAAACCAGGGTCAGTCAGCTAGGTTAAATGTGGTTATGGTTATGTATTCCAGTGAAGTTGAAGGCCTGAACTAAAGGAAGCAGAACCAGAAGAAGAAACATGAAAGGGTGATTGATAACTGGACAGCCATCGTGGGTGCAGGAAGGATGGATGGTTACAGGCTACCAGAACACCGAGAAGGGAGCAGGAAGAGGAAAGCAACGTATTAATTTAATTACCTATGATTCCCGTGTGTGAGCGGTTACTGTGTGAGGTTACAGGAATCAGTACCCATTGCCAGCTGGGAAGGCAAGTGGAGAAAAGAGGCATACTGGTCAGGGTTCAGAAACTAGAGGCCTGAGGGTTCTAGATATTAATCGGTAAAAACCACGGTGACCCTGGAGGTAAAGTAGGCTGCAGGTTACAGTCAACCCCAATGAGAGCATCACATTGCCTCACCTGAATTATCTTCAGAAGTGTTTTTGCCAGGGTGTGTTTTGTGCTGGGAGTATGATGGAAGATAGTTCTGCTTCTGAGCAGGGTTGGAATTATTTTTCAGCAAGGCAGCGATAGCTCAGGAGTGGCTCATGAGATAACCATCACCAGACATAAACACATGAGCATCCCTTGGAAACACGGCTCCTCTCTGCAGCGTTTTGAAAACAGATTCACAGCCGAGACTACTGCAAACTGCCTCGCGCCTGCTACCTAGACTTTCAGGTGTTGTTTGTGATATATTACTTAAGGCAGCTGTAGAGACACAGAAGGTGGAATGAAAGAGCCGTGTGTGCTGTGTGTGACCTTATGCGGGACGATGTTTACTCATCATGAGGGGGAAGTTTTATCAGTCATTTGTACAGAAGGTGCAATGTGGCCCCTTATAAGAGAGGAAATGGCTTCCACATCGTAGTCCCTCCCTTCAGGAACCGCTTGGGTTGACCGCAAGGGACGCTGGGACTTGTAGTCCTTTTAAATCAGGAACCTATTGGTTTGAGGCTGAGAAACCTGGAAAGGCAAAGCAGTGAGTGTTGTGCTGCAGAGATTGGTAGATGCAGGCACATGAGTTCGGTGCTGTGCTCTGTGGTGTACTTGGTTCTTAGTTTCCTTTCAGATCCTTTTGCTTCAGTTTACCGAGCCAAAGTATATAAGCCAAATTCAATTGGTTTGAGTTGGGTAGGGTTTTAAATCTCTTCTCAGTACAGCCTCCTTTTTAAGGAAACGAGAGTTTTAATGATAAGAATTGTTATTAGAAATACTCATTATGCAGGTGACTTTTAAAAAGACACGAGAAGGTGAAATGCTCAGTTTCCTCTGCAGATCTTTAGTTGGGTAGTGGCTCAAACAGTTAGCTGCGACACCAGCAATTAAGGTGGGTGACAAGCTGATCTGAGCTCCATAGCTGCTTCTAGCTGTTCTTAAAAAGGCAGTGGCTTGTATTCCTTCCCCGGATTTGAAGGTTTTATATATTTCTTTCTGCACTTGATCTTAGCCAAAAGGCAGAGAAGTGATGTGACTTTCCTTCTGAAAAGGAGTTGAATAACCATTTGTAGAATCAAGCAACCAATGCCCAAACTGATCAACTAGCTCATCTCTTTTACAAAGTTGGAGCTCCATTCTGTGGAGAGCCAGGAACCAGCCTCCTGTCTTTAGGGGAGTACTCCTCAGTCACATGAGAGAGGAATCAGTCAGTGGACAATATTTCTGATATTTTGCTTTATAGATCAATTACCGAGAATCTCTCATCCACAGGCTGCGCTGAAAGGGATTGCTTATGGAAATAGATTTAGCGTGCAATTTTATATATTCATTTGGCATTAGTTAATTGTTTTCTTTGGCCAAACCAGAAAAAAACTATTTCTAAGATTTTTTTAAGTATAAATTTTTTTGTATATTTGTGAAAATAATACAGGTGATTTTTTTTCCTAAAAAAAAAAATGATCTTGTACTGCTATGTCTTGTTTATTGCTTGACATTTGCATAATTTCTTTTTCTCATCACTCTGTGATTTCCAGAAAAATCAGAGTTCTTTCTGAGTTCGTTCTTTCTTTCTTTTTCTTTCTTTCTTTCTTTTTTTAATTTTATATAATAATTTCCACCATGGGATTAGGTCTAAAATATACTATTTCACAGTGAATTTGCTTGGGCTGAAACTCAAGTGCAGTGGAAAATTCACATTTCATAGCTTCACGGTTTTATTTAGATTCGGGGGACTTGGCGTTTAACCACCCTTATGTTCATATCCATATATTTTATGACCATATCTGTAGATCAGGTATGCCAGGTTATCCTGTGATGTCATCTGGGGGGGCAGCACTCGGTCCACTGAACTCAGCTGGTCCATTAGGAATAGCTACTGGATAACTGATTCTAAAGAACAATTGGCAGCTGGTAAAGGATTGTGTCTCTTTGGCTCTGCCAACACGGTGTCATTTGCATAGTTTCATTCATGACCTAATGACAATTGACAAAGTCTTTTTTTTTTTTTTTGACTCTTCTATTTTAAATTTCGTAGGTCTGAGCAACCAGTGCTAAGGAGTAATTTGTTGTTTTTTTTTTTTTTTTAAAGGTCTCATCAGAAAGCAGAAGACTCGGAAGAAAGCAGCGATGAAATTCTTGCTCGGCTAACATCTGCGGTAAGACAGTCACCCTACGTGAGGGGAGAAATAATGAGAGCAGGTCAGGGGAGGAGGCGGTTTGGGTACAGCTGCTTATTATTGTGAAAGGCCTGTTGCAAGGTACCACCAGCCAAGGGGCTTAAGTGAACCCTGCTGTAGCCTCCCAGTGATGTCACAGACTCTTCTGTGGAAGGTTATCAGCCTTCAAGGCACGCCAGAAGCTCCTGGGCTTTGAAATCCAGTGTGACTTAACCTGTTACACAAAATGGAAAATACTCTGTTTCTTTAGTCAGAAAAAAGAATCATGTCAGGCAACAAAAGGTGATGATACTGGTTTTTAATATGGCACTACAACATTGTCATTATATTTTGTAAGGCCATTGAAAAGAAAGGTTAGCGGCTTCGCTTGCTGAAGGGCAGTTCATGGCTTAGTTGTGAAAGCTGATGTCAATGCTAGATTTAATTAATAAAGTTAGTTTATTGATTGGTTGATTGATTGATTTGAGACAAGGTCTCATTGTTTCTTTGGCTGGCCCAAAGTTCACTGTGTAGACAAGGTGGCCTTGAACTCACAGTTCTGCTTCCAGAGTAAAGAGATTAGAGGTGTGGGTCCTTGCTTCGCCCTGTGGGTGCCAGTCCTCAAGCTCATTTTTGATAGGTTCTAAAAATCCTAGATATTGGTATTTAAATCTTTAAACATTTGGCTTGGCAGTTTCCAGAGAAGCTTTCCTAACTTCCCTTGAGAGTCTTTGTGCTACATTAATACCATGGTCCTAGTTTGCTTCTCTTGCTTTGATCAACACCATGACCAAATGCAACTTGGGGAGGAAAAGGGTTTAAGAGTTTATTTTAAGCTCACACTTTATAGTCCCTCATCAGGGAAGCCAGGTAGGAGCTCAAGGTAGGAACCTGGTAGCAGGAACTGAAACAGAGAGCACAGGGGAACACTGACTTACTCCACCTGGCTCATGCTCAATAGCCTAGGCCCTGCGCAGGGCTGGCCACTATCCATAGTGGGTGAGGTCTTTGTATGTAAATTCACAATCAAGAAAACACCCCACAGACATCCTACAGGCAAATCTTTCGGAAACAATTCCCCAGTTGAGGTTCTTGCTTTCCAAGTACGTCAAATTGATAACTGAGATTAGCCCTGACACCCCTTAATAAAATGCTAATTGAAGAAAATCCTGCTTGATTGGGTTGTATGTGAATGGAACTGTCTGCATAGAGTGTGACAACGCCAGGTGTCCACCTGGACACAGCTTGGAAGATGAATGCTTTTTTTTTTACTACTCTGGAATAAATTTAGAAAAGTAATTTTGGACTTAATATGGTAAGCTTTGATACAGAACCTCACATGAAAGGGAATCCTGACAGTGTGTTAGGAAAATACTTAACAACTCACTTCTAAGTGAAAATATGAAACAAAAGGGAGTGCCTGTTTTATACAAAATAATAATTACCATCTGAAAACCAACTCTTAAGTCTGATGCTGTGTTAAATATACCATCCGCACATGTGTGTACATATTCTGCTAAGATGCCCAGCAACACTGTGAAGTAGCTGGCACAATTCCTCTTTTATAAGTAGGAAAGCTAGTGGAGGTTAGTTAACTCCACTGAGCTAAAAAGAAACAGAAGTAGAGTTTCTCTTTTTCAGTTCCCTAGGAGAAAAAGAGGCTGTTTAAACTAGCTACTTAATTATTGTAGGGTATCAATTTCTCAATAGCTTCTTTTTCTGTTCGTTTTCTAGTGATTGAATAAGAATGGTCTCCGTAGGCTCATATATTTGAATGCTTGGTTAATAAGGAGTGGCCCTACTTGGGAGGGATTAGGAGATATGGCCTTGTTGGAAGAAGTGTGTCACTGGGAGTGAGCTTTGAAGTTTGTGAAGCCCAAGCCAGACCCAGTCTCTCTCTCTCTTTGTACTGCCTATGGATCAAGATGTAGAACTCTCTGCTCCTCCAGCTCCATGTCTGCTTGCATGTCACCATGCTCCCTGCCATGATGAGAATGAACTGTGAGCCAGCCTCAGTTAAATGCTTTCCTTTTTAAGAGTTGCCATGGCCATGGTGTCTCTTCACAGCAGTGAGACACTGAATAAGACCGTTCAAGGCTGTGGCGAAGCTCATTTCCCATTGGCTACAATCTGTTCTCCCATCTCCCATCCTTTCCTATAAAATGTCTTGTTCTCATGCTTCCTCCATTTGGGATCCTACTTTATGGATAAAGTGATCCAAATTTACCACTGTGGACTAGGTCCTGGTTTCTCATGGGTCTCAGTCTGACGTCTCTCCTATCCCTTCTTTTCCACACAGTTCTCTTGGGTAATACTTGTTAGAGAACTAGCAGGTGTCAGGTCCAATGAAAACCATTGTCTTGTCAGGCAAAGTAAAACTTGACATCCCGTGAAAGTCCAAGGCTGCTTCATGTCCCCATATTTTCCCTATGCTTGTGTACAGAGCCTCTCTCCTTTGCCATCTTTTATGGGACTCTCTATTCCCTTGATTGGTATATTATTTAGTTATTTAGTTGATATGTGTATGGATGTATACCTAGGCATTTCTTTAATCAACATTTTGAATTTGAGATGTTTGGAGAGATCCCCTTTTTCAGTGGTTCCTGAGCATAGTGGTAATGTGTGGCTTTGGCTGTTGTCATAATTATCGTTTATTTTTGTTCGTTTGGTGACATTGTCAGTCCAGCAGTGACCGCTTTGGTTTTGGTTTTGTTGTTGTTTTTGTTGTTTTGTTTGTTTGTTTGTTTTTCAGAAATTTCACACTGGTGCTGTTTCATGAAGCAGCTATAGCACAAGGTTTGGATTAGCTGAGTCTTTTAAGCAAGTAGCATAGTAAAGGCCTGTTCAGCATATAAGCCAAACCAACCATGCCTAGAAGTAATCTTCGCCAGGAGGAGGAGAGAGTGTAAGGAATTTGTAATATTGAGTTCATGATAAACATCATGTGATCATTTTTAAAGGCTTCGAGCAATGACTTTAAAATGTAAACACTTCATTTCCACTCATCTCCTTCCTTTCTAAGGAATGTTGTTAATCTCCTTACGTTCTTATCTCACTGTCCTGAGTAGGCTTGTCTATTCAGAGAAAAACTAAGTCCCCTGCACACCCTTGAATGACTAAGCTTCCGTCTAGCTGACTCTGGATCATACACATCAAGTTATCTTATACTTTTATCTGTGGGAAATGTAAAATTCCTATTTGGAACCAACCCTCAGTCTGTCTCTGGTTCTTTCAGTGGTGCAAAGAGATACTGTGTAATTTGGAGAAGGGCCAAATAGATTGAGCTTTGAGAGGAGGCATCAAGTGAGAACCACAGTATTTGATCTGGGTTCATGTAATATTAGCAGCAGTGGAGCTGGGGTATAGCCAGGGGTGGTGGGCTGGGGCATACACAGCTCAGAGGTAGAGGCTGGGGCCCAGCTCAGGGGTAGAGGCTGGGGCACATTTCTGATGGTATTTGTATTTTCTAAAGAGCCACAGGGCTTGTCCCCTCTGTGTGTCAGTACTGCCTTTTTCCTGCTTGAATATGCAGAGGCCACTGTGTTGTGGACTGAAGACCTCTGGGGTCACTTGGAGAGAGGGGTATGGTTTCTTCAGTTTCTGTTAGGTGGTTTTTTTCAGTGACACCTCACAAGCATGTATACTTTTATACTATATATGTGTTTACATACATATTCTAATATTGTATGCACATCAACTGTATTTTCTTCTTCCTGATAATAGGTCCCCGAGCCCCATACAATACAGATCTCAGCACACACATAAACAGTCGCAAAATATTAACTTCCAGGGTCTGAAGAGTGTCTCAGTGGTTAAAAGCACTGGTTGCTCTTTCAGAAGACATGTGCCTGGTTCCCAGCATGCACATGGTGTCTCCTACCATCTGTTACTCCAGTTCCAGGAGATCCAATGCCCTCTCCTGACCTCCACAGGCACCAGAAACAGACATGGTGCATGCATATGAATGCAGGCACAACACTCACACATGTAAAATATTATATATATATGTAAATCTTTAGAAAATTAATTTCTAAATCATCATTTCTAATTCTAAAGAAAATATCCTAGTCTACCCACTACCCAGATATGATAATCTAGTAAAATTCTACTTCTGGGGACTTGGTCTGTGGAAGCAGGACATTGTGTGTTGTTTAGCTTACTGTTGTAAGCTCAGTGTTATTTAATCTGTTCAAAGACTTGGGATATAGTTCAGTAATAGAGTGCATGCTAAAGGCACTGGGTTCAGTCGTCAACAACTCCCTCATCAGAAAAAGACATATGTTCAAGCCACGGATGGTGGTGCACACCTGTAATCCCAACACTTGGGAGGCAGAATCAGGAGGATTAGAAATTTAAGGCCAGGCTCAAATACATAGTGACTTTGAGGCAAGTCTAGGCTGTACAAAATCATCTCAAAAAGCAATTTAAAAGAAAAAAACGAGTGGCAGATATATACATATGTGTGTGTGTGTGTGTGTATACACATATATTTGTAGTCTTTAATTATGTGAGATGTTAGTAAAGCTTAGTAATGAGTAATCCCTTGGGAATAGAGGAGGGAGGCCATGTGTGTGTTTACACATGTGTGTACTATAGCAGTGTGTGTGTGTGTGTGTGAAGGAGGGTCCAAGATGAGGATAATCACTGTTTGATAAGAGTGTACACAGAAAATGCAGACTTTATTCACCCATAAGAAAGAAAAATATATCATTGAGCTCTTGGTCTAGACATTGTCCCCCAAGGGTTCGCTAAGTGTGTTTCCTGTTCTGTCCTCTCTGGAGACGTCTGAGGAACTATAAAACCAGGACCGTATGTGTTTTATCGTGGCTGGCTTCTCTTTACATTGGTTTAAATAGAACTTTGTATAGTTGCATACATGGAATGAGACCTACAACATCGTGTAATGTGTAGGACGGCCAGGAGACATGAAAAAGTTAGAATTATTTACATTCTTTTGGCGAGGATAGACTAAGGTAAATGTGTTTTTGTCTTCTATTGGTGCACAAATTAGGAGAGAATGATATCTTGTATGTATTTTTGGTAGAAATAATGTAAATTGTTTTTGTTTGTTTGTGAATACCAAAATGAATGTAAATCTGATAGTTACCACACCATGGCTTCTCTCTCCTTTACAGTTTTGTTTTCATTACCTGATACTTGGATTATTTAAATTGAACATAAAGGCTTCATAATTAAAATAAAACTTCTTATAAAATTAAAAGGTGCTCAGAATTAACACTGAAGTCTCTCTCCTCCTCTCTCTCTGTCTCTCTGTCTCTGTCTCTGTCTCTGTCTGTCTGTCTCTCTCTCTCTCTCTCTCTCTCTCTCTCTCTCTCTGTCTGTGTATACACATGCATATTCCTCAATCAAGAAGCCAATCATTTTAATGTTCAATCTGTACTGTATTGAGATTTGTTGCTATTGTGGGATTTTTATCTGTTTTGAGACAGAATCTAGTGTGGCCCAGGCAGTCCTTGAACTCACTATGTGGCTGACATGGACCCTGAACTCTCAATGTTCATGCCTCCACCTCCCAAGTACTAGAATTACAGATGTGCATCACCGCACCCAGCTGCGATGTGTGCTCATTGCTCAGTGTTTCCGCAGCTAAAAGCATTACCTGCGGCAAACACTTACAGTGATTCTAAGATTTTATAGCCCACACATTTTCCTCTGTATTGAACACTGTGGTTATTTTCAGTCTTGAGCTATTACAAATCACACTAAGAGGAATCTTTATTTGGAAACTTTTTTTTTCCCTGCTTTTACTGAGGCTTGATCAGGGCCTTGGCCATGCCATGATCTGGCACTGAGTCACATCTCTAGCACGGTAGGAGAGTCTTTTGAAGAGCTTGTTTTCTGATGGTAATCTGTTAGTTTGTTTTTGATTTATGAAAACCCAAATGGGAACAGGTAAGAGAGAAGAACAAGGCAGGGGTGTGCTCCTTGCTTGTACAGGACCCACCTATTGCTTTCTGTGTGCTGTTGCAGTTCAGGCGCATGTTGCAGGGCACACTCTTATTGCACTGGAGAGATGAGCGTGTGAGACAGACGGTATTGATCACACAGTCAATTAACAAGACAGGAAGCTGGGAATGGCAGTATTCATTTGTTCTAGTGCTTGGAGGCTAAGGCAGGAGGATCCAAAGTTTGAGGCCAGCTGTGCTATATGCTATATGTGTAACTATGCTAGTTACACAGCTACATAAATAAATAAGGATTTAAAATAAAACATGAGACTACAGTGGTCGGTTTTTCTCATTATTAACACTTAGAGCACCATTTTCTGAATGGCCTAATAGTTAGGCTCCATTATGGAATTCTTACAATTTGATGGAATGAGGCCTCTTGGAGGGTATTTTAAATAGTACTTTAACGTTTAACCTAGTACACATATTGGTAAATGTGTCTGTATAGTTTGGAAGTTCAGATGGTTTATCAGGTTCCCTGAGACCACATAGCTTAGGGTATGTGTTACAGATTCTCATAAGAGTAAGGGGTCAGTGGTAAGTGCAGAGCACTGTGGAGGTCTCCAGGAAAACCCAAGGTGGTCAATCAGGGCTTTTAGATGGTACTATGGGGGGAAGGTCATTAGGTGAGTGTTGGGCACGAGGGATGAGGGAAGGGAGAGTGACAGAGAGAACAGCATTGTGTTTAAAAATAACAGCAAGACGACTGGAAGCTATTAAAGTGGGAGTCTCCGGGTCTGTTCCATCCAAACGCTGTTGAAGCAAGACACAGATCCACGGGACCTCCAACTCTCCCCAGTCGCAGCCTCTAGGACCATCTCCTCGCTGCCTTTGGCTCCTAGGACCAGCCAGCACCGTCTTCACGGTTAGCCCCATACTCCGGATCAGCCATGAACTCTCAGATTCATCAGACTTATTCCACTGAGGTAGAAGCTGCCGTGAACCACCTGGTCAACTGGTACCTGAGGGCCTCCTACACCTACCTCTCTCTGGGCTTCTTTTTTGACCAGGATAATGTGGCTTTGGAGGGCGTAGGCTACTTCTTCCATGAACTGGCCGAGGAGAAGAGCGAGGGCACCAAGCGTCTCCTCAAGTTGCAGAACGATTGCGGGCCCCGTGCATTCTTCCAGGATGTGCAGAAGCCATCTCAAGATGAATGGGGTAAAACCTAGGAGGCCGTGGAAGCTGCCTTGGCCCTGGAGAAGAACCTGAACCAGGCCCTCTTGGATATGCATGCCCTCGTGCCCCAGGCATCTCTGGGTGAGTCATCTCTCTGAGTGCCTCACTCTGAAGCACAACTAGGAGGCCTCTGAGCCTTCAAGAGGCTCCCTCCTCTGATCTCCACCAGCCTGCTTCAGGACCTCCACCAGAAAGAACCTCTCAAGCCACTAGGCAACTTTGTAACCGCCCAGGAGCCTCCCCCAAGTGTTGGACCAAGTAAAAATAAAGCTTTTTGGAACAGAAAACAACAGCAGTAAGAGCATAGGAGCCCAGTGGTGTTTGTTACGTTAAGGAATAAGCAGGGTGTGTGGCCCTGGAAAGAATCTTTTGTTTGAGGTGGGTACAGTGACTGACAGATGTCTGGAATTGCAGGGAGATGCGTTGAGAGTCTACTTAAGGCAAAAATAGGTACTGAATCTCCTGAGAGGATTGCAATGTGTGTAAGAAGCTTTATCTGCTGGATGGATTAGAAAAGGAGAGAGAATTGGGCTCTTAAGTTCACCCAGGAGACCTCATAGAGAATCGGGTTCTTAAGTGCACCCAGGAGACCCCATAGCCATCTTGCTTTCATTAAACTCGTTCAAGTCAAGGGAACCAGTCTGAACTGCGTCCCCACATGGCCAATACTGCAGGTGCCTGAGTAATTAGAGTAAGTCCATGTGTCCATTTAGTGGAACTACTGTTTTTTTTTTGAAAATGTCATGTTTGGTTTCTTCAAGACAAACATATAAAGGAGGAAAGCCTTAGAAATTATCTCCTCCCCTTACATATTGTACAGGCTAGTTTTATGTCAACTTGACTCGAGCTAGAGACCTCTGAAAGGAGGGAACACGAATTGAGAAAAGTCCATGGCTAAGATGCAGAAGTAGGGCATTTTTAAAATTAGAGATTGATAAGGAGGTCCCAGTCCATGTGGATGGGTTGATCCCTGGGCCGGTGGGATCCTAGTTCTATAAGAAAGCAGGGTGAGCAAGCCATGAGGAGCGAGCCAGTAAGCAGCACCCTTCCATGGCCTCTGCATCGGCTCCTGCCTCTAGGTTCCAGCCCTGATGTCCTCCAATGATGGACTATGATGTGGAAGTGTAAGCCACATAAACCCTGTGTTTCGTCACTGCAGTGGTCTTCCTAACCAGGACAGATACTGTCAGTGTCTTCACATTGTCTGTTTGTGTCTAGTATCAGGGCTTCAATCTTTCATGTAGTATGTAGCATCTCTTTGCCCCTGACCCAAGCCTGAGGTGACTTTCTCATCTGTTTTTCTACAGTTCTTTCTGTTCCCCACTGTGCTGTCTTTAAATGAGGCTTGGAGAGGCCTTGGGGTCAGATGTCAGGTTATCATTGCCTTCCTTTGCTGCCACAGTTAAGATCCGGCTTCAGTTCTCTGTGAGAACCATGGAAGTGCTTTGGTCAACACCGGGTCATGTGTAGCTTCTTTGGATACTTCTGCTCTGTGGAACTATACACTTTCCATTTGTTCCCTTCTCTGTAATTCCTCTTCTTTCTGAATCTATAGGACCCAACCCTCGGCAGCTTGCTTCTCATTTCCTTCCACCGGAAACTTCCCACCTTCCTCAAAGACTCATTTTCTAAACGGCTTCCTAGCTAGCTCTTTTCATGCACCCTGGAAACATGGAGGCAAACGCTGCTTGCTGAATTTCAGAAATGTCTCCTGTCCCAGCACAGGACCGCCGTTCTCTCCTCTGCTGTAGCCCACTGTGTCCCCTTTGCCAGACTTCTTGAAGTTTTCAAGTGTGAGCAGTCCCTTTGTCCATTAAACTCCGAGGAAGTCAGTCCTTGATGTGATTGATACTGCATGAATTTGAGGATTCCTGTCCCTGCAGCATCCCCATAATTCCAATGAAGTAAATGTCCTTTGTTGCTCCCTGCTGAGTCATCAAGCCTTGTCATGGTCCTAGAGGAGCTGGAGGGCTGAAGCTTCACTATGAGTTTGGGAGATGCATGTAACACCTCCCCTTAGGACTGCTGAAACACTCAACCACAGGGCAGATCTCACCTGATACCTGTGACATGAACATGAAACTAGGCCTAAGACAGTCCCGGATCAAGTAGAAAACATGGAAATTTCAGTAGACCTTATGCCAATCATGGAGAGATTAAAATATCATTCTAATTTGATTTAGAATAAATTTAAGGAATAAAATTACCATTTTAATTATTTCCTAATGGGAAGGTCTTAAATATATTAACACCTAATTTTATTTAATGAAGCTATGAATGGATAGTCAGCATAAATACATGTGAGGTCTGAGGCTCAGAAAAAAATGAGCAGAAGAAAGATTAAAAACTATAGGGGCTGAGGGCTGGAGAGATGGTTCACCATTGAGAGCACTGGCTGCTCTTCTAGAGGACCTGAGTTTGATTCTCTGTACCTATGTGACTGTGTGTATTCCCAGTGCTGAGGAATCTGACCATCTTCTGGCTTCTGAGGATACCAGGCACACACATGATGCATAGCCATATATGCAGGCAAAGCATGTATATGCATAAAAATAAATAAACAAAACATTTTAAATATTTTTATAAAAACAGACGATGTTGTAGTTCAGTAGTAGAATACATGTTTAATATGACTTAGGCCCCCCGCTCACCCCACCCACAACTGAAGGAGGCAAGGAAGAGAGAGGGGAAGGGAACAAGAAAAGGGAAGAATAAGGGCTGAAGTTATATAAAACCTTTAGAAAAACAATTTCTAGGGTCTCCTAACAAAACTACTCATTAACACAAAAGAATCCCATGGAAATTATGCTACCAGCATGTTTTGGCTGATCTATTAAAGTGTCTGGAGAGGCCACGTAGTTGTTAATGCTCTGGTTGACAGCGTGAGCCTGGGAGAGTAGATCCTAAAGCTGAGGGGGCTAAAGTCTCGGTGCAATAGCCAACTTTATTCAGAGTATCAGACAGTTTATTCTCTGTAGGAATTCTGAGGGTTACGCAAGGCCAAGTGAGCAGAATTCCCATGAGTTTAGGCTGTATATAGTCACATGGGCAGCCCATGCTTGGAAACATTGTTTTGGATAACCAAAGCAAGCAACAATGTATTATGCTCCTATTTACTATTTCTGGGAGGAACACAAAATCTGTGTCATGGAGGAACAGAGATTACAAGACTCTTGTTTACTTGGAGTTTTTCCCACAAGCTCTCAGAAATCTCACAGGGCTTCATTCATGGACAGTGTTCCAACAGGTATGACAGGAGCATGTAAAAGGAATAACACAGTTCATGAATTCAGCTTGTTCTAAATCATCTTCATATAAGCCACAGACCGTTTTCAAGAGTTCATCTGCACTGTTACCATATCTCAAGCAAAATGAAGATAAATTAAGTCAGTGGGATTTGGAACAGTGCCCTGGTTCATAACAGGTACAACAGAAGTGTGCCATTTGTTGTTTCATTATTTTTTAAAAGATTTTATTTATTTTATGTATATGAATACACTGTAGCTGCCTTCAGACACACCAGAAGAGGGCATTGGATCTCATTTACAGATGACTGTGAGCCACCATGTGGTTGGTGGGAATTGAACTCAGGACCTCTGGAAGAGTAGTCAGTGCTCTTAACCACTGAGCCATTTCTCCAGCCCCTTGTTGCTTTATTATTTTACATTCTGTACTATGTGTAGGAACTCAGGCCTCTCAATATGGAACTGAACAGCCGATCTTCTAGCTGACAATTCTGTGATGTCCTTTCTGTCTCTTTTTAAAAACTTTTTATTGATTCCTTGTGAGTTTCACATCATGCACCCCAGTCCCACTCATCCCCAAGTCTCCTCATATCCACCCTTCACCCTTGTAGCCTCCCCCCCAAAATAAAAACACACCCACAAACATACAAACAAAAACAAAGCATAGAGAACATCACATCATGGAAGCATATATGGACAGTGTATCCCAGAGTATATCCTTCTGTCCACACATCTTCACTTGCAAATGCTCATATCAATGAGTCAATGGTCTGGTTTGAGATCTCTGGCTTCTGTGACACCAATATTGGATCCTCAATGGGACTCCTCTGGGTCATCCCATTGCTGTATCCTGCAGCTTTAGATCAGCAGGACTGGCCATTTTGCACAACCCAACTGGTCACAGATGATATAGAATTTTGGGGTGGGCTAGTTCAGAGCCCTGGATCATCTGGGCCTGGGTGGTAGCTGAGTTGGTCAGTGGGTCAGCTCTCCCTTATCCAGACCACTACGGTGAGCGCTTCAGCACTGCTGGACTATCCAACGCCACCTTTGACAGGAGGCAGACCTTTAACAGGAAACTCTCCTCTTTCCATCCCCTTGGGCCAGCTCACCCTTACCCATGCTTCCAGAGCCAGCTCTGCTGTGCTGCCCAGTCAAAGTGTGGAGCCCACTTTCTCACTTGCTGCAGTCTGCCATGGGCTGGCTAACACCTTCACACCCTTAGTTAGTGCTGGCTTACCTGTGCCTTCCCCATAAGAGCCAGCTCCACTGTGTTGCCCAGGCAAGGTGCAGGGTCTGCTCTCCTGAGTGCTACAGCTAGTGAGGGGCAGGCAGGGCCAGATCTCCTATTCTCAGACCCTTCCTCCCAGCTCTCCCAAATACTGCAGGTGATGGGGGAGTGGCTTTGGGGAGAGAGCATCACCCTCATACCCACACAATGTGGATGAGCAGAGGGGGCCTGCTCTCCCATGCTCTTGCCCTTGGGACTGGATTGTACCCCTCCCCAACTGCTACCACCAGGGTCAGCTTTACTGTGCTGTCCAGGTGAGGTGCAGGGCCAGCTCTCTGGAGTGCCTGCCATAGGTAAGGTGTGTGTATGTGTGGGGGAAGTCCTTTCTTAAAATCCAGAATCAGACTTGAACCACCTGTTGGCAATATCTAGGGCATCGATTTTTATAACTTACTCCTGGTAATTATCGTCAAGGCACACTCAGTGAGTGCATTTAGGATAAGCTGCCAAGACCCTG